CCCCCTCCCGACCACCACCACCACCACCACCACCAAGGTTCACGGTGCACAGCACCAGCACAGTACCAACTACAAGATGCACTGGAATAATTCACCAAGGCTTCTTTGACAGCATTTTCCAAACAAGTGAGCTCTAGAACCTCGAAGGACAAGGGCAGCAGATAGATGGGAACACCACCTGCAAGTCTCTCTTTGAGAAACACACACCATCCTGACTTGGAACTATATGAATGACAAGAAATGCTTGCGTGACATAAATTTGAAGACTCAAAGTCAGGCAATGATTACTGAATGGAATAAAGCACCATATTTTAGTTATCTAGACATGGTTCATTTGGCAGTATTCAGTGATTACAAACACAACACAAATTCTGGTAGACTATCTTTAATGGTGTGATTAAAGTCAACTGAGGCTATTTTGGATCTGATAAAGTGTAATTGAGGAAGGTTTCGTAAATGACCTCAGAATAAAAGACTGCCAAGGAAACAGCGACCAAACTGTATCAGAATTGAGCATTGATTTTGGGAGTGAAAAATTGGGTCAGAAGTAATTGTGTTGAGCTTTAATAAGGGAACTGCAAAAAGCAAAGGACAGAGTTGACTGGATTTGACTGTGAAAGGAGTTTAGCACAAAAGATTGTTGAGGAAAAATGGCAGACATTTCAAAAAATAGTTCACAAATCACAACAAAGAAATATCCCAGTGAGGAAAGAAGATTCTAGGAAGGAGATAAGCCAATATTGGGAAACTGAGGGAATTAAGGATAGTATTAAATTGAAAGGAAACATTTGCAATGTGTCAAAGGTTAATGGTAAATTACAGGATGGAGAAAGTTGTAAAAAGCAACAACAGATGACCAAAAATAACAAAACGGGAGAAAATAATTTTTGAAGGTAAACTAGCAAATGATATAAAAATGGACAGCAAGAGCATCTTTGAATATGCAAAAACTAAGAGAAAGGTGAAAGTGATCACTGGCCCCTCAGAGATTATGGCTGGGAAAACAATAATGAGGAATCAGGAAATGGCAGAGGGGTTGAATAAATACTTTGCATCAATCTTCATTATAGAAAACACTAACAATATTTCAAAATTACAAAACAATCAAGGGGCAAAAGAGGGAGAGGAAATAAACATGAAAATGAGAAACTAGGGAAACTAATGAGACTAAACACTGATAAGTCTCCTGCACCTGAGATAGTAGGAACTGCAGATGCTGGAGAATCCGAGACAACAAGGTGCAGAGCTGGATGAACACAGCAGGCCAAGCAGCATCATAGGAGCAGTCTCCTGCACCTGATCAGTTGCATCCACTAAACGAAGTAGTTACAATGACAGAGAATGCACCGGTAGTAATCTTCCAAGAATCCTCTTTTATGGAATGTCCCAGAGGATTGGAAAAGGAAAGGAGTCAAAAAATTTAGATTAACATCATTATAGGGAAATGTTAAAGTCTATCATGAACGATACAACAGCAGAACATTTACAAATACATAAATAAAAACAAATTGCTGGAAAAACTCAGCATCTGTAGACAGAAATCAAAGTTAGCTTTTGGATTCAGTGACCCTTCTTCAGAATGTACAGAAATGTCTTCAGAAATATGAATATAGTCAAGCTGAGTGTGCATAGCTTTATGAAGAGAAAATATTCCAGACAAATGTATTTGAAAGTTTTAAGGAGGTAACAGACAGGAGGATAAAGGAGAACCAGTAGAGGTAATCTATTTATATTTCCAAGAGGTGGTCAATGCAGTTCTGCACATCAGGCTATTTACAGTGAAGAAGGGTCCAGACCCGAAACGTCAGCTTTCCTGCTCCTCTGATGCTGCCTGGCCTGCTGTGTTCATCCAGCTCTATACCTTGTTGTCTCAGACTCCAGCATCAGCAGTTCCTACTATCTCTGAGTGAGTTTTAACCCCACTGCAATGCCTCTTCTAAGGATGCCTACCTTGAAGAAGTTACCCTCCTCCCTCCTGAAAGACCTCAGTGGATCTCTCGCCCACTGCAACCCTTTGGTATCCACCTTCTATCATCACCCCCCCCCTCTCTATTTATTTCAGAGCCCCCTTCCCCTTCCCTATTTCTGAAGAAGGGTCCAGACCCGAAATGTCAGCTTTCCTTGCTCCTCTGATGCTGCCTGGCCTGCTGTGTTCATCCAGCTCTACACCTTGTTGTCTCAAACTCCAGCATCGGCAGTTCCTACTATCTCTGAGGCTATTTATGGTGTTGGGGGTAGTATGTTAACATGAATTGAGGATTGGCTAACAAATAGAAGACTGAGTTAGGCTAAGTGGGGGAACTTTCAGAATAGCAAACTATTACAAGTGTACTGTCAGAGGGATCAATGCAAGGGGTACAATTATTTGCAACATATTAATGATTTGGATGAGGGAAGTGAATGTACAATTACCAAGTTATCAAATGACACAAGCGAGGAATGGCACAAAAAGTCTACAGAAAGATATGGACAGATTAAGTGAGTGAGCGAGAACTTGGCAGGTAGAATTTATTGTAGAAAAATGTAAGGTTATGTACTTTGGTAGGAGGAACAGAAGAGCTGAATATTAATTAAATGGATAAAGACTGAAGAAAGCTGCAACAGAGAGGGATTTGCCAGTCCTCTTAATAAATTACAAAAAGCTAACAAACAAGTTCATAATTGGTAAGACAAATTGGGACGGTAATAGGGAAGACAAATGGAATGTTAGCTTTTATTTCAAAGGGAATAAAGTAAAAAAATCATATACAAGGCACTAGTTAGACCGCACCACTCGAGAGTACTGCAAACAGTTTTGGTTCCCTTATCTAAGGAAAAACATACTGATAGTGTTGGCAGTCCAGAAAAGATTCATGAGATTGATTCCAGATATGGACGGATTTTTGTAGAAAGGAGAGGTTGAGTCAATTAGACTTGTTATTGGGTTTAAAATAATGAGAAGGAGCCTCATTGAAACATACAAGATTCTTAAAGGCTTGACAAAGTAGATGCCAAGAGATTGCTTCCCCTCCTGGGAAAGTCTATTACCAGACAGTACAATCTCAGATTAAGGGGTCACCCAGTTAGGACAGAGGGTAGTGTATCCATGGAATTATTAAACACCGAG